ATCAACATTTTTAGAAAAAGATTCTGCTTTGGAATATGAAATTAAAAAACTATGTTGCCATTCAAAAAAGTAAAACACTTAAAAAATGATAAGGATAAAAAATATTTAAAAATATAATTTTTTAATAAAAGAATTGGTTTTTTAACAACTTGAAACTATGTAAAAAAATTTTGAAAAAAGTCAATACTTTTTTAAATAATGAGTGTTGTTTGATAAAAGAATCACCCTGTATATATATATATATATATATATACATGTACCATGTATAGGTCTCGCGGATAAGTCTTAAATTCAATCAAAATAGGAAGTATTAAGTGATTAATTTAATTATGAGTAATGAATTATCATCATTATGATTAAAATCTCAAAAAGTATAATGAGGTTGATATGGTCACGATAATTATACTATTATTAATCAATGTTTGCTAGAAGCAACCTAAGAACATTATCTTGAAACTGATAAATGTATAACATTATTTTCTTTGTTATTCTTTGGGTGTTATAACAACTATAAAGTGAAATCGGTCAAAAAAATACAATATCTTACGCTTCTCACTTCAACACGACAATGTGATGGTAACACTCTTAGCGTCRCACAAAAAGCAGAATGACCCCAGCCATAAGACACATACATGTCAATAAAAAAAACAAATTAATTATTATTCAGAATAGTCATTAATTATTTTAACTTAAGAATCTTATTTACATTTTATTTTTAATAAATTACAATTATTTATACTCACTTTGTTTAATATATTTTATACACATTTGATTATCTACAAAAGGRATTTTTTTAATTATCATATAAAAAAATAATAACAACAAAAGCGTTTATTTGTTCTTCAATTGACTGCATATCCACTCCAGACCTTGATACAATCTGCAAAATAAATAATATCAAAAATGTTTTCAAAAYCACATTACAATTATCAATGTATATCATGTATGTATTATCAACCTACCCTTCACCAGTCAATGCACAACAAGCTTGAATATGCCACTGTTGTTTCTTAATGGAAGTCAGGTTTAAATGTTTACTGATCTCTGCAGCAGTTAATGCACCTTTCATGTCTTGTTTGTTAGCATAAACAAGAACTGCAGCTGAAGATAGTTCTTCATTGTTTAATACCTTATAAAGTTCTTCACGACTCAAATCCAGACGGCTTCGATCTGTAGAGTCAATGACCACTATCACAAACTGAAACACACATACAAGCAACATTATTACAAATATAATACCTCGTCTAATACTGTTTATTATGGCATATGTATTTAAAACAGACAATATTTCAATAGAGTTGATAAATGTACAAGTATTTCATCTGAATAWTTTTTACAAACAAATCATGTAGGTAAGTAGTGAAATTAATTTATCATACACCACAAAACATACTCAATAATATAAATTGCTTTAATTTTATCTTTTATTACAAATAATACTATAAGTTAAAATATAATTTTTTTTTTATTGGGGGTTGAGGCTTTGACAACAAGAGCCATTAGCCTAAATATAATTATTATACTACTTAATATGAAAGCATTAATGCAGAACTACCTACTATTTAAAAGTAAAATATTAGTTGGTAAGGAATACAAGTTTTTTTCAACACTTCCTGAAWTGAACATGAAATAAATGAAGGTCAAATGCTCAGCTTCTTAACATTCATTTAATAACTCTCGATCCCTAATTAATTATTTATAAAGCATATTATATGGCCAAGTATTAATCAGTAATTAATCAAACATTTACTAAATAATTATTTATCACAATTATTAAATAATACTGAAATCAACCATGCATAGAGAATAAATGGCAACCACTTCTAGGATAATGTGATGTTGCATTAAGTTGATATATATATATATATATATTACACAATATATTCCGCCCAGCAACCAAACTTCTACTGGTTGCATCCAAATAGTGGACATCAAATTTTCCCATACTTAATACAGTTATATATATATATATATCTTAGTTGATCTGACTATGGTTTAATCAATAATTATAAATGTTTTAGTTCATTGGAAAATATATAAATTGTATTTGAGTAGAAATGAAAAATGTTATGTATTTAACCTTACCTATGTAAAAACAAAAATTAATATATTATTGAAGATAAATAGGARATAAAAATTCATTTTTAAACATATAAAACAATATTTTTTTGCTATAAATATAAAATTTAGAATGTACGTATAACACGCATAGCTTGAAAAACTATTAAAATTATACAAATGTTATTTTACCAAATTTGAATTACCCACAAATAATTTTTTTAATTAGATTAAAAATTCTTAAAAAACCAAACGATTTTATTTTTCATTCCTATAAAACTATATTTTTAGTTTAAAACATAAAATTGAAATATCTAAAACTACTCTTTTATAATCTTGCTGTTCTGAACACTTAACATTTTTTTTTAACAAACTATTATTAATGAATACTCTTTATAACACCTGTCTAAACAAAATTACTTTACTTTATTGAAAATCTGATAATAGTATTGTAATTACAATATAAATTTAACAATACAATAAGCACCTGCTAACTTATGACAAGTATTTAGATACTAATAACTATCTCAAAATTGAAAGCTATGTTTATGGATTAATGCATACCTCAGTGTTACAATAGTAGGTTGACCAAGCGGCTCTGAGGGACTGCTGCCCACCAAGATCCCACATTATGAAATGAATGTTGTTCCATACCACTTCTTCAACGTTTGAGCCAATAGTCGGTGAAGTATGTACAACTTCGTTCATTAGGAACTGATACAATATGGTAGTCTTGCCCGCATTGTCCAGGCCAATGATAACGATTTTGTGCTCTATAACAATAAAAAAACAATAAATTGTAAACGCTAAGAATACAAATGAATMAATTATCATGTGATGACAGAATTTAAAAACATTTACCTTCGGTGCCGAAGTAACTCCAAATTTTTGAAAACAGGAGGCCCATGATGGCTGAGGGCAGTTCGAATTGAWAGGGGTGCTGTGAACAAAACGTCACAAATAAAAAATTAGTAAAAATCAGACATGCATCGACAACGTAGGCCGCCGATTGAGGTGTACACTACATTAAGCAACTGTTGSACTACAATGGACAGAGTACAGAGGTAGTCAGAGTACGACTCGATTTCGAACCTGTTCCTACGCTGTACTGCAGATGATGCATTGATGTTGGGTACCTACCCTATACACTCGCCGATATCCAGCCGCAGACCACAGAAGATGCGTTTTATGTCGCCTCTTACGCTTCGACGTTCGGGTGCACAACGAAAACACGCGAACGTCGATGTACTGAACACTACGATATCACTGCACTGCTGTGAGCGAGACACCGCTGCAACTGATTTTAATAGACTTATATATCCTTTTTATCCGACGTCGTGTACTCGTTCGCGGAATACGGACACGCACGGCGGTCGCGTAAAAAATCGTACCGCAGCGGATGTCGGATTTCAGCTGGTCGCGACGCACTTACGGCACCTCCAATGTACGGAGGTCATAGCTGCCGCTGCTGTTGCTTTTGCCGTCGTCGGTGCCTCCGCCGCACTAATTTTCACGGCCGTCGTTTGGGCTGCAGGTGGTGCAGTGCGCGACCACATCTATGACGTTAATAATAATAATGAGAATTGAGAAAACGACCGCCCGAACGACCGACTGACCGACTGACTGAGACTGAACTACTGAAGAGGGCGCACTACAACAGACGACTGGACGGCAGGGGCATACAGCAGGACTGGCGCCGGACGGGATCGCGGTAACGTCTACACACTTTCACACGAGAGTAGCGAAAACACAATATTGCAACAATTATTATTATTTGACGCTACGACCTGTTAATAGTTAATTGTTAATAATAATTAATAATAGGCATTAATAACAACAACAATAACAACACACCACACGCATACGCGGTTTATACCAGTGTAACCACTAAAGATGGATCGCGAAGACTAAATTGATAACTTTTGCACGCCGCCACACGGATTCAGTTGTAGCAGCTGCCTGTACTCCATTCCACTGTGCGAGGTTGATCGCTGGTGGTTGGAACTTGGAAGTGAAAGTTGTGTTGGTGGGGCGATTAATGGGAGCATAGTACAGAATAACTATTAAATTATAATTCTTTGTTCGGCTACGTGCGTTATCGTTACGGCCTCCTTCTACCAGCCAGCTCGGTWGCTCGTCTTCCACATCTAGATAGATAACAGTATAAATAAATGACCACCTAATTCTTATCTATCTTAATTTACTATGACTGATAATGCGAGAATCGTRCTGGCGCAATCATGCCAATGTTGATTGTTGATACACTCTAGGATGCACAGATCAGAATATCAGATCTAACATGATAAAAATATATATTATAAAATTAAATGGGTATAATAGGTATACCTAATTAATTAATAATTACCATTAATGACTATATTTCTTAGGTTCCTACTTCCTAATAGGAACATAATATTATATAATTATTACTTTAAATATTACTCTTTATTTTATTATTTTCGTACCAGCGAACAAGGGTTAATAATTACGTAGCCGCATAAGCATAGTATATTCACAGTATAAATAATAATAATAATATAATTTAATTTAATAATAAAAAATATTATTCTTTATACTGTGGTTTATTATTTTGGTTGTTATTGGTAATATGATATCTGTCATCTATGGTTGGATGCAAAATAAAATATTTTTTTAGTCACAAACTCACAACCTAGTCACCTTAGGCTAGACAATAGGTCAATAGCTATATCATGCATTGCATGTTTGCGCTTATCAGGTTGTTTTAATCATAACAAAACATATTAAGTACCGTGCGCACGCCACGATGATAACATTAAATAGGTAGATAGGTGTTAAATATTTTTTTTCATTAATACCTACTCAGTAGTTCAGTAGTCAGTAGGTAGGTATCCACAAATGGTAACAGTGGGTATTGGGTCCTCCCTTGGTAGGTATTTTTTTTTCTTGATAACGGTATGTATGGGTTAAAACTTATCTAACTTGTTAATGTAACTGATCCCATTAAAAATATCAGTGTGTCTGACGTATTTGTGTACGTTAATGATTCGTATATTATACACATTAGGATTTATCACGGTTTTGTGTTACATAATAATACCTATTGTGTACCTATTTTAATTAGTATTCTAAGCTAATATTCCACATACCCCGCGAAAAATCCTACATACTTTAAATTTTTGATTTATTTACAAAAAATAATCATAATTTTTAATTGAAGGTAAAATGTATAGCAAAAATATGTTACCACTCTACTATACAGTAGGTATATAGATAGATGTCGAGTGAACCTGTATGGCTGTATAATTAAGTAGGTCATTTTGATAAACAGATTAAAATTAAATTCAACAAAAAATTATTCTGAATGTAATATGACTAATATGTATTCTAATTAACTTTTGAGTATAACAACGGTTACCAAGCGATTAATGATTATTATATTAATACGATATTTTTGTTTCTAGATTAGGTATTTAAAAAATGTTTACTTTTTACCATCAAAGTTCCAAATTAAATACAATTTTCTAGGTACCAGAAATACTTCTCTCGAATAAGTTGGTGATTGGAACATTTTTTCTACTAAAAAAATTCATCAAACACCAATAATCTCACATCACTATAAAATCAATACATTCCACTAAGTATCAATTACAAATTTTTTTAGATAATTTTTAAACCAAAAAATCGAGAAAGAATAAGTTATCCTCGTCAAAATTATAGGTACTACTGTATAACCTGCGAAAATAATCTGCGTATACCGCATGTCCGTCACATGCATATATTTTTTGTTTTTCTACTTCGTTCAGTGACTACGTTGAACACTGATTTCATTTGTATCCAAAATTTAGAAGTTGTGTAGTAGTTACATCAGATAGATTTATTATATCTGTATAATGACAAGTTATTTTGAATACTTTTAAGAGTATTTGGAATATAGTATTCGGAATACTTTTTTAACGTCCTATCTCATTTAATAAATATTTTCATTATTTTTCTGTCATGGAAATTTTTTTTTTTACTATTGTATATAATATGTATATATAATTCTATACAAAATATTTTATTGTAGTTTATTAATTTGTTTTCTACTACTTTTAGTGGAACAGTAATGTTATTTTCCAATGTTGTAGCAACGAGCTAGCGATGACGATATTATTATACATGACTTCAGTATTTCTCTATAATAAGTAATAAAAAAAAAGATAAAATTCTCCTTGTGGTAATCGTTTGCAATAATGTGCGCGCGTGTCGATCGTAATAGAAGTTCGGTTTTAATGGTTTGATACATAACGTACCTACATAACAATACTCATACACTCATTACATATTGTGACTTTTACGTGTGACGNACCGAATGGCGAATGCACACTGTCTTTGTTCCATTAATATCACAGTGCCACAATATCTAAAATCACACGGTTCCGGTTTCTTAGAGCTGCGAGAAAGTGAAAAACTGTGAAAGTGATGTACTGCCTGTAATATATTTTAATATAAAATATGATATACTCGTATAATACGTATTTATCAATTATTATAGTAATGGTGTGTGCTCGGTCTAAATTCTAATTCCCGCGAAAAACTACATAGGTAAGAATTCCGATGATGCCAATYTCCAACCTTCATATTGTAATTTTATTCATTCTTATTACAATTTAAAATTAATATAATTTAATAAACAGAACCAATTTTGTATAGACTATGAATTATGATGGTCACTTCGGAACGTCATCAATTTTTCTTCTTTTTATCAGTTTATAAATTATCCAACAGGATGAATCATTACTAATGCTTAAACTTGGAGAAAATTTCAAAAGTTATCTGTGATTCTTATTTTAATTTTAGAGTTTCATTTGTTGTAGACGTAGTCGCATACAATTAGGTGAAGACTAAGGGATAGATTATGCATTCAGTTATCAAAAATTTTTTTTTTTTTTTTAATTTAATACAAAATTATATGGATAAATAATAAAAACTACAAATATTACCAAATGTGTACCAATAATGGTTCGCAGGTACCTAGAATCTAAATGCCAACTGATAGTACAGATAACTAGTAATTGGGTAAAATGCCCACTACTACAGTACCTATCTATCCTTTATGTATAATATAAGTTATAACCTTCTTCACTGTTCGTATTTTTTGTACTTATATTGATTTATATAGTATGTAAGAACATTATATCTTATAGGTACATATAAATAAAACCTAAATGACTACATATAATACCTACCTATGTAGTAATAAAAATTAATATATAATATAAGTATAGGGAAAAAGTAAGGAATGGGGGTTAAACACCCAAACCCTTTTGGCCTACGACACTGCACGCAGATGAAGGCATGGAATACTATGTAGTTATACATATTATATGTATATAGCCATATAGGTRTATATAAACGCCCATAAATTGTATAGTGCCTAGTTTTAAATCAGCTTATTGTTTTATAATCAACGACATACTATTATGAATACCTAGGTACTTCTATTATTATTTATTAATACAGTTATAAGTTTATAATATTTGTGACTAGTTATTAATGGCTATAATGAATGAAGACTATACTGATGGCATACACTTTAAACCAGTGTAAAGCTGAAAATTAATATCAATGACTCAATGTATTAATTTCAAGAAAGGGTTAACAATACAAAATACAAAAGTATAATTTTCGGATCCAAGCATATTATTTAGATATTCTTTGATTATTTTTACAAAAAAAATAATATATTTATAGGGTTTTAGACAATATTAATATCATTGAATTTATTAAACCTAAAAATCCAGTCTAATTATAACCGTGTACTTATAGACGATTTATATACTTATGTGATTATTAGAATATGTAAGTATTTCTAGCATTATTAGTATTGGTATACTATTATGCAAGTGCATCACTGTGTAGTGTGTACGTTTTGACATCACAATATATATTATGATATAGGTAACACAGCGAACGAAACAGACGAAACATGATAATTATTATCGTGGTAGTCGTTGGGCAGGTTACATAATACAAAATGTGTAKTAACTAATGGATTAGTACAGCTATAGTATCTACACCTAGTCAGCAGCTATTTGTTTTTATTTTTTTAATCAATGCAGCAACGTGGTATACTTGTATGGCTTTTAGTTTATAATTTTAGAATCTAAGTAGAATGAGGAGTGTTAGTATTTATCTAGGTAAATTGATTTTACAAAAATAATATGTGGTTTTATTTATTCTTTGTGTATGATACTAGTATTATGGCGTGATATCCTTGAGCAGAAAATTTGGTTAAATCTTCATAGTTGAGGGGGTTTTGTAATGAATTTGATCTAAATGGTACTTTTTGTTGTTTGTTTGTTTTTTTTTTTTTATTTGGAGGGGAGGGGATCAAAAGTGGGAAATGTATAACCACATTTAATGCTTATATTTTACTGATAATGTACATGAATATAAAATACTACAATCGAAGACCTTGGGCAACAAGCAGATATGTCTTTTTTTTTAGATTTAGAATTTTTAAAAAAAAACATCAGATTTTAGTTTTAGGACACATATAATATATTCACTTTTAATAATGCTTAACTTTTAATATAAATTAGGATTGGACACATCTTATTGTTAAACCGTAAATAAATATATTGTACAACCAGACATATATTATTATCTTGTTTTTGGGTGAAAAACAAAAATAAGACATGTTCATATTGTATTAAATTTCCGTAAATAACAGTTGGCTATGTCTCACTGTTGCACCAATTGATTTAGTTTTTATCTCTACTTTCTGATGTAACAAAGTGATTTTGGTCAAAAAATGAACACGTCTCGTTGTTGGCCAAAGGTCTTCAATTAAGGCAGTAAATTTTGACAGTAAGTATTATTATAAAGTTTATAAAGTGTTACCACCTTAATATAATAATCTTTATAATTATTATATGGCATTTACACTCATTAGGTACTCGTTAGAATGTTTCCCAAACATGATAATGATAATAATAATCTGTATTTTATATGGTTTATATATAAATGGAGGTAGATAGTTTTAATGTATAACTTTCCTCGTGATATTAAATTTAAAAAACAATTTTTTACTTTAACATAATATAACATGTACCTATATTGAGTTTCAAAATAAATTAAATGTGAATATAA